TTCTGAGGAACCCAGAAAACTGACACCCCGGAACACGTTGAATCCTGAACATGTCGTACAGAGTTCTGGGAGCTTCCGAAGGGCCTTTGGAAATTTGTGAGGGCCTCCGAACGAGTTCTACACGGTTCCGAACGGCTTCTGAGGGCTGCCGCAAAGCCACTGAAAGTTTCCGAGAAGCCTCTGCGAGCCTCCGAGAGGCCTTGAGAATTCCAGAAGAGGTTTCTCAAAGCTCCCGAAGGGTTGTTGAAACACCCCGACAAGCCTCTAAAAGTTTCCCAGAAGTCTCTGCAAATTACCGAAAGGCCTTGGGAGCTCTCGAGCGGGCCTGAAAGCTACCGAAAGGGTGAGCTTCCGAAAAAGTATCTGAAGCGTCCCGAGAGATCTCCGAGAGATCTCTGGGAGCTCCCGTGAGGCCTCTGCGATTCCCCGAAAGTCTTCTGAGAGCGTCCGAAGGGCTTCTGAAATTTCCCGGAACCCCTTCTAAGAGCGTCCGAAAGACTTCCGGTAGTCCCCGAAAAGCTCCCGAGAGCCCCCGAAAGGCTTCTGAGAACGTCCGATCGGCTTCGGAGAGCTCCGAATCAGACAAACGACACACAAACGCAACACACAGAACGCACAACACACAACACACAACACAAAACGACACACAAACACAACACACAACACAAACAACACACAACACGCAACCACACAACACAACACGCAACCCACCCAACACAACACGCCACGCACAGCGCACAAGACAACACACAACACACCAGACACAACGCACAATTCACAACGCGCCAAGGGCCAGCAGGGCTTCGCCCTGGTGAGTAAAACTTAGCAGAGGCTTGCAGGCTCTAGCAGGGCCCAGCAGGGCCTAGCAGAGCCCAGCAGGGCGTAGGAGGGCTTACCAAGGCTCTGCAGCGCTTATAGCAGGGTTTACCAGAGCTCAGCAGGGGTCAGCAGGACTGAGCAGACTCTTGCAGGGCCTCGCAAGGCTTCACGGGGCAGGCACAGGAGAGCTTAGCAGGAGTCCCCGCGCATTTGTGGCCGCTACTTCGGCTGGGCAGCGTGCGAAACCTCATCGGGATTGGTGTATTGCACGCTTCGCCTACGGCCGGTTCCTGTGGTTTCCTATTGGATTCCTATAAGTGTTCGAGGAATTCACGGAATTCCGAAGGAATTTCGCTAGGAAGGCATCTGGTTGGATTCTTATTGACCTCTTTAAAATTGTTCTTGTTTATGTAATGAATGTCAATGAAATTCCTAGGAGGTCTTTGCATTTGAGCTCTTATTGAATTCCACTAAAAAAACTTCCGGCTGAAATCAAACCCAACCCCAACCCAAACCCCAAACCCCAAACCAAAACAGTCCATGAGTCAAGTGTGTCCCTCGTAGAAGTAATAGTAGTAGTAGTACTAGTAGTAGTAGTAGTAGTAGTAGTAGTAGAAGTATTAGTAGAAGTAGTAACAGTAGTAGTAGTAGTAGTAGTCGTAGTAGTCGTAGTAGTAGTAGTAGTAGTAGTAGTCGTAGTAGAAATAGTAGTAGTAGCAGTAGGTGCAGTAGAAGTAATAGAATGAGTGCTGGTCGTAGTGGTAGTAGACGTAGCGGCTGCTGTAGTAGTAG